GCAGTCACCCCAAAATTTGCTGAAGGCCCCCAAACCCTTGCCAGGCAGTGGTAGCACTGCCTGTCCCAAGCACAGCCTGGCCCAACTTCCCCCAGGAAGAGCCATGACATTTATGGGTGCTCAGTACCACCAGAGCAGTTAGGGGAAACACCTAAAAACCAAAAAGGACTTACTTGGGTTTCCTCCAGTGCAGTATGAGATTTAGCAAGCCAGAAGTACTGAGAACAGGGAGAAGACAAGTGACTGCACTGTTCAATTTCTTTATTAGTGACTTGGACAATGGGGTGAAAAGCAGCCCATTTAAATCTTCTGTTGATACCAAGATTTGGGGCGAGGTGGGAATGCTACTAGGGAAGGACAGATTACAGCAGGACCTGGACAGGTTACAGGGGTGGGCTAATGAAAATAGGATAGATTTCAATACTGACAAGTGCAGAGTGCTGCATTTGTGCAGTAGGAACCAGCAGCAGACTTAAAAGCTGGGAAACTCCTTCCTTGAAAGCATGGTGGCAGAAAGAGATCTTGGAGTCATTACTGACTCCAAGATGAACATGGAGTGACAATGCGAGGTCACGGTCAGTAGGGCTAACCGTACCTTGTCACTCCTCCACAGACACTTCTCAACTAGGGCCAAGGAGGTGATCCCCCCCCTCTATGGGCCACTGGTCAGGCCACAGCTGGAGTACTGTGTTCAGCTCTGGGCACCGCACTTCAGCACTGAGAGGGTCCAGAGGAGGGCCACCCAAATTATCCGGGGACAGCAGGGCAGACCCTATGAGGAGAGGCTACGGGACCTGAACTTGTTTAACCTTCGCAAGAGAAGGCTGAGGGGGGGGGACCTGGTGGCAGTCTATAAACTCACTAAAGGGGGACCAGCAACATTTGGGAGAGATTGCTCACCCTAGGGCCCCCCCAGGGTAACAGGGAATAATTGCCACAAGTTGTTAGAGAGTAGGTTGAGACTAGACATCAGGAGGCACTACTTCACAGTCAGGGCGGCTAGGATCTGGAACCAACTTCCAAGGGAAGTAGTGATGGCTCCTATCCTGGGGGTCTTTAAGAGGCTTGATGTCTACCTGGCTGGGGTCATTCGAGCCCGGTTCTCTCTCCTGCCCAGGGCATCTATGACCCTGGCTGTAACCCAAGCACAGCAAACAATGCAAAGTGTGCTTTGCCTGCAGCAGCAGCTGCCCATGATAACGCAGCTCTAGAATTCAATTTCTTGCTTCTCACTTTGGAAGATTTCTATGCTTAAACAGAATTTTAATTTCACACAGGTGCAGTGAAAATAAGTCATGGGGAGCAAGGAGATACTACAACAGCTGCCCAAGAGCAGGACAAAGGAATGTAATTACTAAGGACAGTATTTTGTTTATTTATATTTAATACAGGAAGCATGATCAAATGCTTCCAAGACACAGACTCAAGTTATTGAAGACTAATGTTCAGCACCTGCATGCACTCTGTGGACAAAAATAAATAAATAAATAAATAAATAAATAAAAATAATAAAAAGAACTGCCTCAAGGGAGAATAAAACCAGCTGAGTTGCAAGATAAGCCAGATTGGGAACCCCCAGCTCCCTGGTTCACTCATAGCCACAAGAGCTGCTGAAGTAAGTAGTATTTGAACAGCCCCTTCTACACCAGGAGTTTTCAACCTTGTTTAAAACAAGTGTACCCCTTCTGTCTTAGTTTCAGCTCATGTACCCCTTTATATTAGAATTATTGGGGGGAGGGAGGAGTTAAGTGCATGTGCACATGTGCCTCTCCCCTTCCTGCCAGTAAGTCTGTGGGGGAAGGGAAGAGCCGTGGCAGGCACATGGCATCACACCACTCCTAGGGAAGCTGCAGTGGCACACGAAAAGCCCAGCATATAGCAGCAGCTGCCTCTGCCCCACACAGATTGGGGGGGTG